AGTTCAAGTGAAAGAATCAGTCGATGCAGTTCGTGCTCTGTGGGTTTCTTTGGACCTCTTTCTTGTTCAACTTGATTTACAGATTATCAAGGAAATCATGGACAATTTCACTGATAGCAAATTGTCGCTAAGGCACTTTATCAAGGCGCGGGCAAGAACATGCAATGTAAAGGACGCTTGCCAGGTTCTTTCCGGTGCCGCAACCAAGCGAGCAAAAACTGAAAAGGTACAAGACAGAGAAACTTCTTCTCAGAGGCAGCTGACGCCAACGAAGATTGGAGACATGAACACCACTGAAGATGTCATACAAGTACCAGCTTATGCTGTTTCAGGTGCCGATTCAGAATCTAAGAATTCTGATCTGTCAGCTGCTACCGAGACCACAGCAATGGATACCGACGAGACTACTGAAGGAATCACATCAGTGTCGTCCTCTGATGCATATACACGTTCCAGGGTCGATCCCCTTCACGGGTATGTACCCTCCAGTAAGCACCCTGCACCATTTATGGGTGTGAATATTAATGATCGAGATTTGTACGGTGCACATGCTGAAGAAAACCAACTTGAGAGAAAACAAGAACGTTTCGTTACACCTCATGGTACATCAGTCCGAACTCGGCATCTGTCTAAAATTGATACTAAACGTATGGTGGATACATCGGAGTTAACCTCTCAGTCACTTCCCTACCTGGGTACCACAACTTCGCCATTACTTTCGACCAGGATCTCAACTGATACTCATATAGCTTATACCGACACAAGCACAAGGACTGGAAGACAAGTTCAAGGGTCTAAGTACGTTGGCCTGCCAGACATACGTGGCTCAGCCAGTCACCAGGTTGCATCTAACGCATCGTTTCAGTCTTATCGACCAAAAGAGAATGCATCTCAGCATAAGAACTCGACTGCCGTGGAAGATCGAAGACAACTATCCGCTACTGAGCCGATGGAAGTGGAAACGCAGGAGTCAAGAGCAAATCGCGTAGAGAATTTTGGTTCTTATTCGAGCAAAATGGCTGAAGGAGGATACGCCAGACCTGAAGCTCAGTCTGGTGTTTCTGAATACAGCCATCTATCTTCTCGTTTAAACGAATTTACTGGAGGAGCATACGCGTTATTCAAAGCTCACCCTGGTTTTTCTGATTTAGACAGGAATCGGCTTCAACACTTGAATCTCGAAAATGGCACTTCTAAAAGAGCAGCCGTACAAAGCAGCAGCGCAAAGGAGGCTACTTCTAAAGCTCCGTCTGGTGTTTCTGACAGCAGCCGTGCACACAGTCTTTCTTCTCGGTCAAACGAATTCACTGAAGGAGCATATGCCGGAGCTGAAGGTCAGCCTGCTGTTTCTGAATACGGCCGTCGGTCTTCTCGGTCAAACGAATTTACTGGAGGAGCATATGCCGGAGCTGAAGGTCAGCCTGGTGTCTCTGAATACAGCCATCGGTCTTCTCGGTCAAACGAATTCACTGGAGGAGCATATGCCGGAGCTGAAGCTCAGCCTGGTGTTTCTGAATACAGCCATCGGTCTTCTCGATCAAAAGAATTTACTGGAGGAGCATATGCCGGAGCTGAAGGTCAGCCTGGTGTTTCTGAATACAGCCATCGGTCTTCTCGGTCAAACGAATTCACTGGAGGAGCATATGCCGGAGCTGAAGCTCAGCCTGGTGTTTCTGAATACAGCCATCGGTCTTCTCGGTCAAAAGAATTTACTGGAGGAGCATATACCGGAGCTGAAGGTCAGCCTGGTGTCTCTGAATACAGCCATCGGTCTTCTCGGTCAAAAGAATTTACTGGAGGAGCATATACCGGAGCTGAAGGTCAGCCTGCTGTTTCTGAATACAGCCATCGGTCTTCTCGGTCAAAAGAATTTACTGGAGGAGCATATGCCGGAGCTGAAGCTCAGCCAGGTGTTTCTGAATACAGCCATCGATCTTCTCGTTTAAACGAATTTACTGGAGGGGCATATGCGTTATCCAAAGCTCACCCTGGTTTTTCTGATTTAGACAGGAATCAGATTCATCACTTGACTCTCGAAAATGGCACTTCTAAAAGAGCAGCCGTACAAAGCAGCAGCGCAAAGGAGGCTACTTCCCATGGAACTGGGACCACAAGAGTAGAATATGTACCAGATGATGTAGTTGTGTCCCAATCAAATTGTTCGCCTCTGCCAAATGTTGGCGCTGGGTATGGTTATTCACTGTACAAGAAGGAAGGAAATGGCTCATCCGATCACGTCAGACATAACACACGTAGTGCTGCCCGATTCCTTCAGGATCAGGGAAAGTCAGATGAAAAATTTCAGGAGTCCAGATTGAAAAGGGATTATTATTCTGAAAGATCAGGAAAGGATCCTGTTCCAGAGGCTGAAGCTACGTCTTTAAGGAAGGATGAAGAGTTAAAAGGGGCGACAAGCAAGGTTGATCCTAAGCATACAGCTTCAGTATGTGGCCATTGCTTGAAACAAGGAGAGCTCATGTGTAGAAACTGTCTTTTGATTGTTTGTAAAGAATGCGACAGGGAAATCTACAGCACTGAACTTTGTGGAGTAACCAAAGACAGACATGTCTTTTCGGAATTAAAATCTGCAAATTCACTTGATACTTCCTGCTCCAGCCCTGTTTACGAAGGAAAGGAATGGTCATGTTCCCGATGTACCTTCCTTAATCAACTGGAGCATAAAATATGTGTCATATGTGGTGCAACTCGTGGTGTCGGCGATGTGGAGCAATTGAAACCTGGCAGCATAGTGTGTACATTTTGCACTTTTCATAACGAACAGGATGCAACCGTGTGTAAAGCTTGTAGCAAGACTTTAGACAAATCAGAATCATTTGTGTAGGCCAGCAAAGTGGTCGAAGAAATCATTGAATGTACGTTTTTTTTTTGTGAGAGCTTTCTCAAAAAGTACTCTACTGGTAAACAATGCATTGAGCTGATGGTGTGGTGTGATCGGGTCTACGCAAGTGAATACAAGTTATTTGTGACTTTTTTCATGACTGTTCCAAATTGGGGAGTACCGTTAAACTTAACATGGTTTACTAGTGAAGAATAGCCTTGAACTCATGTAACAACTTCTTGCCTTTAACTCGATTCCTCGTTAGACTTTCCGCGCTGATAGCACTAGTTACGTTCCGAAATGTGTTCGATACAGGAGATACTTTACGGCTGCCAAGAACTCAAATAGGTTGTCTTTTGTAAAATAAATTTTTTGGAGGTGTCAACCAAGTTAAACGACCCCTCTAATAACTACGGTTAAACATAAAAGCTTTACTTGCGCTTTGCACTATTTCCAAAATTAGCCTGAGTATGTCCTTCCCCCTCCCCCATCTAAAATCTCCTCTTCCTTAGCCTCTTAGGAAGGCCTGATACTTAGGCTATCGAAAGGCTGATTTAGACGGCCCGATTTTTACTTACGAAAATCGTGCGCGACTACCATACGTCATGGCTTTACGTCTGATCGTGTCGTGTAAATTAGACCCACGACATCCGTACGACACGTGTGGATGTCGTAAGTGAAAATTGTGTGCGTGTGAATGGTCGAAAGTTATGACGTATGCTAGTCGCGCTCGACAGTCGTAAGCAAAAATAGTACGGTGAGGGGTTAAGAATAGGTTTTGTGACATTAGATCCCCCGCGTGACTCAGACAAACTTTGCATTCTACTCAAAGGCTTGAGTGTGTAATCATCCAAAACCGAGGTTACTAAAGAGAAACTCAAGTTTGTATGTGCTTGTCGTAAGCGTGTGGCAGAATTTTTAAGCTGTAAAGCACACCAACATGAGTACAAACCGGAAATTGTACAAGTCTGTTATGTTTGGTTGTGCGGCCAGGTAAGATAAATAAGACTGATTTGCTTTTGCACTCGAAAAAAACAAAATGAGCATCCTCTGCCTCTAATTTTCACCAAATGCGCCTTTTTATGAACAACTTTGATGCCTTGCTCTCCATACATTTCTTAGTAAAATGCCGTAAATATAATTTTACCCACAGTAATTACACCGCATTAGGAGTAAAATCACTCATCTGTACGCTTTTTTCCATATTGAACATTTTTTTGGCACACATAAATTATTTTCAGGATTTATGTTATCGAAAAGACGACGTAAACTTGCTGGCGAATACGACTTTCCCGTACAAAACTCTTACACCGATACGGATCCGGCCCAATGTCTGAGTCACAGCAGGGACCAGAAATTTAGGTCAGACTATTAACAGTCTCTTGCGTTTCTTAAAAGTTAATGGGTGGTGCCCGTAGCATATGCCCCGCATTTCTTCTGTTGGGTGTTTCGCTCGACAGGCTAAGAAAAGGGAGGGGCTGCTCTTAGTCAATGACATAAAAATTCATTGCACCTAATGTAGCGGATTAAGGTGCAATTATTAAACTTTAAAAAACTTTAGAAAATACGGCGACTGTGTGTATAAGAAAATATCTGTAAATTTGTGGATTTATGTTAGCCTAATCGTGTAAAACGAAAATTTTTTGTATTACTTTGTTTCTATATCAGGAATAGATACGGTTATTTTGTTGGTGGTGGTGTAATAATATATTGTACTATTGAATTTTAGTATATACTAAAACAGTGGATAGCGTTTTTCGCGCGCTCTGATTGGCTACTCAATCAGTGAATATCCTGCACTATTCACTGATTCACCTCCAGTTCCTCCGAGCGAGCGACGCCAAACTCGCGTAAGTTGCGAGCAAAATGCCTTCCCGGTTTGCTGCCGTAAGCAAACAAAGAAATTTCACAACTAATCAAGCAAGCTGTTTCCGAAATACACGAAGAAGGTGACGAAGTTCGGATTGGAAGTTTTAATAGGTAAAACTTTGACTTTTTGACACGAATTTATCGATAAAACCGGTGAAAAAGTTTTTTGTTTACAAATGCAAATTAAGTTTAAGTCTTGCGTTAATTTATTTAGTTGAGTTGTTCATAAATAAGCTTAAAACTAAATTTAATAATCTTTTTTTATAGAATGATTTTAAATACAAAAAGAATTCACAACTCCTTTTGAAGAAATTTTCCCGCAAGAGCTAAACAAATGCCTTCAAAAGTTTTAATTGTCGGCAAGAAAAAGCGACGGCCGCGGCCGCCCGGTCATTACGCGCCAAAATTGTAATCGTTGGCAACAGTATTTGAGTTAAAAATCGTCATTTTTGTGCTCAATTATCTCACTGTTTTAGTATATACTAAAACAATTATTCACCTCAGTGTCGGTGGCTAGTCGTGGATATTTACCTCACTGCTTCGCAGTTCGGTAAATATCCAGGACTAGCCACCTCCACTTCGGTGAATAATTGTTATCTATTTGATATTATTATTTAGGGAGGGGGCTGACTAGTGATATGAAGCGGGGAGACTAAGGAGATTCTTCTACCACCAGGGGGTGGAGGCGGGGCAGAGGAATTTGAAGTGAGATGCCAAAAGTTAGACTACGAGTAGTCCCCCTTTTTTCCTCAGGGATAGTAGAGCGAGCGAAACGCAAACGCGCGTGAAAATCACCCCACGCGAGAAAAGGCGACTCTCCCCGCCGCGTGTCGCCTTTTCTCGCGTGGGCTGATTTTCACGCGCGCTCGCGTTTTGCTCGCTCTACTATCCCTGAGGAAAAATGGGGGACTACTCGTAGTCTACCAAAAGTTTCCGAAGGGAGGAAGAGCTAGGGATGCTTATTTTTTTTCTACTTGAAAGATGACAAAGTATTTGTAACGTTATTGATAAAGCACTACACATGTGAACAAAAAAACTGTAAATTGTTATTTGTTTACCCACGGAGCATTTGGGAGTTCATAAGTTCAATGAATGGTTCAAAGTTCTATGAAGGGTGTCTTTGTCATTAAGATGCCAAAAGATCTAATTCCTTTACTTCGCAAAATAACCAGCTCATCATCACCAACTTCAACTTTATCCTGCTCTCATCAATAACCACATACAGTAGAACCCCGGTAACTCGAACTCTGACGGGAAACGAAAAAGGGACTTAGCTAGCAGGGGTTCGAGTTATGGAGGTTGATTGAAAGTTCAATTGCCATGTTAATAACTGGCAGTTAACAATTTTTTTTTCAGCACTTTAGTATACAGCACAGTGCAAACTAAACTTATCTCTGATCAGAAACTGTTACATCATTATGTATTCTTATTCTGATGATGCGGTATGACTTATAAGACGGGAAAATGACGCTCAGATACTTGACATGTTCTTTGCACTTTTTAAAATCAAATTGCTATGGTGCAAGTTTTAGAGTTTATCGGGGTAAATTCTCATCAAGGGAAACAAAATTTAGTTCGAGTCAAGGAGGAATTCGAGTTACCCGACTGAATTCGAGTTAACCGAGTAAAAATAACTGAAAATTGGGGCCCGTAAGTGACCCCACTTCGTTATTCAATATGTACGTGATGACCCCAAAGGCACTAACCTACTCTATTACAAAATCAGCGTATAAATATAGGAAAAGTGATAGAGTTTTACAAATGGTGCCTTCATGATGAACACAAATGTAAAAACCATACAAAATATAATTCTTTTCAAATGATTTTCCTGCAGTTGTAAATTCTTGTTGTTTATGTTTGGGATATTAAAGTGACACAAGTATTTCGTTCAAAGAAAATTCAGTCAAACCAAATATTAAAGCAGATAGGTCTGGATTCTTCTAATTATTAGCTAAAATTTGAAATAAAAATGAAGTTTAGGGTGCAAACAGAATTTCTGTCAAATACAAGTGACCAAGTTGTACAAAATAGTGATGCTTTTAACAAAAAGCAATAGGATTAGCATAAAATTTATTGTTTGTGCTCTACTATTTAAAAATATACCTCACGATAAAACTGCTGACCCCCCTATACTTCTTTAAAAAATGTTTTCCCCCCCCCCTTCTTTTTTTCCCTCCCCTCCTCTACAGAATGAAGGGAAACGGGACTTAGTTCGAGTTACCGAGGTTCTGCTGTAGATTGTTTTCTTTCTCATTATCTTCACCATCATCATTATTTTCGTCACAGTTATCATCAAAATCAAGGGGAGTTGGCAGTATAGTGTGCAGGAATTGCACTTTTCACAACGAAAAGGATGCAACCGTGTGTAAAGCGTGTTACAAGATTTTCGACAAATCAGAAACATTTGTGTAGGGTAGCCTGTGTACCGTCCCCCCTCCCTGAGGAAAAATTGGGAGAGGAGACATCTGTGAATCGCCGACGATGTAATCAGAGACCTTATATCTGGATTTTGGGGTGGACATTGCCTGAAGATGTTCGGCTAGCCTGTGCACAGACGCCAGAGCTATTTTTCGACGTACATGTGCCTTTTCAACTGTAAGAACAAAAAAATAATTTATGCAAATGTACACTGGAACACGATTAACGACGGCGATTCATAGACGTCTCCTCTTCCGATTTTTCCTGAGGGAGAGGGGACGGCTGTACACAGGATAGTGTAGGGAAGTCTCTAGTACAGTTCAGGAAAAGGTCGCGGGAATTATTGAATGTAGATGTATTTGTTTGGAGTGCTCGCACTCAATTCAGGGAAGCGAGCACAAAGGACTGCGTAGCCTGTCAAAAGACTTTAGACAGCAGCGAGAAATTTGTGTAGGACAATTTGTTACTCAGTATGGAAAAATGGCTGCTGACTGAAGTTTCTTGGTTGTTGGAAGTACATTCACGAATTTTCTGTGTAACACTAAGCAGCTGACTACGAGGACACGTTGACAAGCTATTCAAGCTTGTACTTGAGTAAACCTCTAGATAAGGACAGGGAACGACCGTTGCTAACCCGAATCGCCGTTTTTTCCTTTCAGAAAGATGTCAAACAGACCTTTTTCTAAAAATAACTTTAATATCAATTATTTAAATTTAACCGGCTTACAACTCTCAATAACCTTAGTTTCAGAATATACAATATACATGATTATATGTACAAGCAAGCAAGCACTCAAATTGTGGGAAGGAAAAGAATGAAACTCAGTAGCGGGTGCGGTTACTAAGGCTCCCTTGTCCTCTCTTTCCTGTTTACAATGATCTTCTCCTTTAATCCTTCTTACCCACAGATATTGGCAATAAACAGTTTGCTTTAGTTTGCATTTCCTTAAATGCTGCACTACTCATACTGTTGAGTTCCATTCATAGCAGAGAAAAAAGAAACAATCGATCAACTTAAAACAAATACACATAATCACAATTTCACTTCTCTTTTAGAGCTGAGAGTTCTGATTGATTCTTGGTACGCAAATGGAAACACATGCTATATGAAAAACTGACTCAAAGAGGCCGATGAACATTAATATCACAAAATTGTGATAAAAAATATCAGACAATGCCGAAAAAGACACACTAATCATGACGGATCTGGTGCATCCTCAACAACACGAAAAAATTCAGAGTTTTTGCTATTTTGTTTGGATAGTTGTTTGCCCTTTTTGCTTGCAGCTCCTTTACATTGCAGATCGCTTCTGTCCAGTAGAGCCTCTAAATCTTTGTTGCTCATCATCAGTCCATCACTGGACACTATGCTATCATGATCTCCTGACGTCAGCAGTTCATGAAGTTCTTTGGCACCAATCACTTCTGTGTCTTGCTTGCCCTTAAATTTGCCTGCAACCCAAAAAATCCACCCACCACTTCATTTAGGTCTTCAGTCAGGTTCTGTTTTAGAAACCCATGTTCCTTTTGCAATTTCACAGATGACCACTTTTCTGCTGCCGAATTTTCGCACACGTGAATTCGTATGGATTGATCAAAATATGTACAAGAGAATCTTGAACGCCGGCTCCATTTATTGTAAGAGCAAGTTCTCTTGGTCATGTAAATGGGAAAACTTGTGTTTTTTATCTTGTCAGCAGAAAGGTTGTCAAAGTTTCCACTTAACCTGAGCAAGGTATATTCACAAGGAAACCTTGCTCATCGGAATGAGGCTTTACACAACGTCAACAAGAACTAATTCAAACAGGTACAGTATGCATGAATAAGAGCAGTAAGTTTAATTATCTTTCAGACAGGCATCTAAGTTAGCTGCTTATCATAGTTTGTTTATATACAGCTGTAGTTCTATCCATAGTGTTAGCAGTCAAATTTGAGAACAAAATTTTCTTCTCCTCTCTGTTATTCCCTGAGTTGAGAAGAAGGGGGTTGCACAGTGGGATCGTTCTACGTTTCTGGGAAACTGCCCACCTACCCTGCCTCAAGCGAAGATTAACAATTACTTCACACTTCAGGCAAAATGTTGGCTTAGGGGAGGGGTGGGTGGGCAGTTTCCCAGACACATAATGATGATCCCATAAAGTTAGTATAGAGTCTGACAACAAGTCAAAAATTAATTAACATTTCAGTGGCAAATCACTCTTCCCATCAAGTACTCTACCGACCTTTGTGAATGATCATCTTTTCAAGTTTCCTCTTGGTGGATGCTCGTTCAACAATCTTTTGATCCACAGTGTTTGCAGTGACAAAGCGATACACAACAACAGGCTTAGTTTGACCAATCCTGTGACAACGATCTTGAGCTTGCAAGTCTACCTGTGGATTCTAAAAATCAAATCTTATCTTAGTACAGTGCCATCAAAGGCTTAAGGTATCATCCACCCTTTAGGATCGTCTTTGTGTGGAATTGCGCTAGTGCTTGTAGCTTTAATAACTGATTACCCGCCTACAAACTGTACATTTTCTGCAAGCTTAATAGTTACATGTTACGGCTCATTTCTTTTTAACATCCAGAATGTTAGTGCATTTCAGGAAAGACTATTTGCCAAAGTAAATATCTCTGTAAATCTAAGTCCAGGACCAGCAAAAAATAAACAGAACACTGAAAAATGAGAGCATTCAAGGCTGTGCTCTAAGGAAAATTGAGGGGAGCCCGGTGCTCTAAACCTGTAAAATCTAGGGTGCCAAGCATGTGATTTGTATGAAAAAACTGAGATTTTCTAGTCACCCGATTACAGGCGCCACCAGGTTCTGCTAGAGCTCAGCCCAGCCCCTGGCATGTAAATCTTAGTACATACAATCATTATAATTTCATCCGACTTGATTGCAAAGGGTTCAACCAAACCTTTAACATAACCATAACATGAGCATAAATAATAATCATCATAACATGTTGTCATCACACTTCCCAATCAGAGCCTATGTGCACATTTCCAAAATGACTATAATAATTATCGTCATTTAATTCAAACAATTATTGTTTGAAGCTGGCAACTCACCCAATCACTGTCATAGATAATTGCAGTGTCAGCCACAGCCAAGTTAAGTCCAAGTCCACCAGCTCTGGTGCTCAGCATAAATATAAAAACTGATGGATCTGATTCAAATTTCTTTATCTAAAACAAAGTAAGTACGAAAACAAAGTAAGTACATTTTATCTTTTATGGGACAGTTTATAGCCTGAACACTTCCAAAATCTCAGGAATTTTTATTTTGTTATGACCAATCACAGCAAAGATCGGGACATGTGAACTAGCCACAAAACCACAAACTAATTAACCTTCTTGCTTGCGGTTCAGTTTTCTCATGCCTGATTGGCTTTCTTCTTGCAACACAATAACATTCCAGAAATATTTCTGGTGTTTTCGGTTTTCTTGGTTTGACTGTTATGACAACCATTAATAATTTATTATTTATTATTATGAGGTTTGTGGCCATCCATTGATTGGCGATTTGTTTTGTACCATTAACTAGTTACGCAGCCACAACAATGCAATAGTGAAAGAAACAAAGAAATAAAATGGAAAATATTCACCAAATATGGGCAAATTTTCCTGGAGATGAAATGCTATATAGCTAGGGACTGCTGGCAAGTTCAGAAAAGAAAAGAAAATTGATTTTGCAGTTGTGTCTATGTCCTCCTATAAGTATCACAGTAACAATTTTGAATCACAGTCGAGTAGAAACATACAAAAAAGTTTGATGTATCCAAAACTTATGGTTGAAAACTTTTATGAGCAACCATAAGCTGGTCACTTTTTTATAATATCATTCATAATGCTGTTACAATGTATGTAAATGCCAAAGCATATTATTAACCAAAAAGTTTTAGAGAAGAAAGAATCTTTGTAAATACAGTGGAACCCCAAAAACTCATTCTCAGATAACTCAAACTGTTTTTCGTTTCCTTTCAGAGTTTGAGTTACCGGGCAGTGAGCAAAGAAAGTAGTGCCCGATAGCCCGGGGCTAGTGGATTTTGCTATCGGGCTAGAGAATGATGTTATTAACTTCCCCAACAGGCAAGTGAAGTTTTTTGAGGAATTCAAAACTACAGAAGAACCGTGAAATCAATCTGCTCATCAAAACGTTTTTGGAGCTAGCTGAAATGATGCTTGGGCTAGTAAATGTTAGCTTCAGCTTGCCCGAAAGGCAAGCTGTAAAAGTGACTTTCTTTGCACCCTGTTCCTGGGGTTCTACTGTGTAATCATAATTATTACAGTTTTGTATGTACAGACCTCATCCTGTCTGTCTGTCACTTTCATGGACCCATCCAGCCTAGAGTAGCCATAATTTCTCAAAATACAGTAGTCTTCTATTATGTCCATCATGCTGGTCATTTGAGAGAAAATTAACACCTACAGTACATAGACAAAACAGATAAAAATAAAATCTCTTCTTAACACACTCTCCATATCAAGACTAAGCCAGTAACCATTTGAGGAGGAAAGGGTTATCTAAAGGTATACTTTCAAAAGTATGGCAGGGATTGGGAAGGCAAAATAGACAAATGGGCCAATGGCCCCTGACTTTGAAAAGTTATGGGGCCATTTCGTGAAAGTATGGGCCATTAAAGTCATGGGGTAGGCCAGATAAAAAGGAAGACGGAAATGATATGTGCAATTCAAGGAAGTGTGTACAATACTTTGTGTATTTTTTATGTGCTTTACATGAGTAAGTTTACCGTGTGCAAGGCAAGTTTTACAAAACATGGCATCTCTTTCAAACACTAGCCAAAGTGACAGCCAAAAAGTCAGCCACTTTGACTGGAATATCCTGTCTTTGTTAAATGCAGGCCTGGAGAGTGTGGAGGGCTTACTTGTATTTTTTATGTGCTTTACATGAGTAAGTTTACCGTGTGCAAGGCAAGTTTTACAAAACATGGCATCTCTTTCAAACACTAGCCAAAATGACAGCCAAAAAGTCAGCCACTTTGACTGGAATATCCTGTCTTTGTTAAATGCAGGCCTGGAGAGTGTGGAGGGCTTACTTGTTTCGCCAGATGGACCTTCAAATTTGTCAGTCACATCATTGCTGTTGTTGTTGGCCGACTCGGTGTTTAAATTCACCTTAAATAAAAACTTGAAAATCTAATTTAGGAACTTTCTTCAGAGGCGTTATCTCACTAATTCAAATGCAAATGAATTAATTTCAGCCAGAAAGACGAAAACAATGAAGAAAGAAGTTCGTCAGATGAAAATAAATAAAGACGAAAGATCATCTATCGAAGAAACAAAGACAAAGGTTGATATTTGATGTTTTTCTATGTTGTAACACAAAATTAATACACAGATTGTAGTGCATATCACTAATTACACAACCAGGGCGCATACTGGGCTCGGTTGGCAGTGTTATAATGTAACACTTTCTACCTTCTTGTGCTATATGCACGTGGTGCATGGCCTTCCCAATCCCTGGCACAGGAAAGAAGAAGTACAGTTGTAAAGACGGGGGGGGGCTAAAATGGAATGCATTGCAGGTAATGCAATAAATGATTGTAAAGCAACAACTACAGTGTAAGTACATTTGCACATACCTTGTGCCCTCTCTTTTTAAGGACTGGCAACATACGATCAAGAAGCAGCATCTTGCCACTGCTGGTCACTATTTCCTCATCCACCCTACGTAGGAGTGTTCCTTCCTCTAGAGGGCATTCCAACAGATATGGGTGGTTACAGCACTTCCTCAAAAGCATTAAGATGTTTGTCATGCGGACATTTACAACTGATCTTGGTGCACTTACGCAAGGGGAATTCCTGTCAACAAAAAAACATTTCTGGATGATGAACATTGAATCCGAAATGTTTAGAAACTAATTTACAGTACTGTACCCATTCTTGCATTAATTTGGCAGCTGAGCAAGGTACCTTATAATATTGAATGGAATCCTGACATAATGAGCCCCTTAATGACCAAGAGCCCAGCGTAATGGACAAATTAAGTCTTTCACTCCAACTACATAAAGTACACATTGTAAACGTGTGAAAAAGACCTTTAATCGGGTGTTCAGTAGGCATGAGAAATCTGAGAATTCTTTGTTTGTTACGCAGAATTGTCCAGCTAACGTTCTGTAGCCTATAACTATTTTTTATTCAGACATAGAGCCTCTTTCAAAATATTCTCCTGCGATGTTACACCTTTCTCCTGCTGCTGGAATTTTTAATGAAAACCCTGTTAATAGTCCAGGTCCCAGGTCCCAGGTCCTTGGCTTACGACATTAAGGTTCCAACGTAGAATTAAATAAATTGTCAAAGGAGTGATCTAACGGATTCCTTTGTTTGCATTGCTTCTTTTAAACCAAGAGGTAAACTGCAAGAATGATATTTATTTTTATTAAGATACAAGGGTCCACAAAATAGGTAACAAACCTGCCATCACGTTTTTTCAAGAAGTCCTGCAACTCTTCGTCATCCTCATTTTCACTGAAAAAAAGCTTGTAACTGATATCTTGCCTCCCCTTTCTCTTTGGTCTGCCTGTACCACTAAGTTCCACTGGGTCATCANCCTTTGTTTGCATTGCTTCTTTTAAACCAAGAGGTAAACTGCAAGAATGATATTTATTTTTATTAAGATACAAGGGTCCACAAAATAGGTAACAAACCTGCCATCACGTTTTTTCAAGAAGTCCTGCAACTCTTCGTCATCCTCATTTTCACTGAAAAAAAGCTTGTAACTGATATCTTGCCTCCCCTTTCTCTTTGGTCTGCCTGTACCACTAAGTTCCACTGGGTCATCATTTTCCTTGAAGGAGACAAGGGATAACATACATTATCCATTTAATACCCATTTGATCATATACTTGTACAAATTTGCTTTATACGTAATGAAAATTTCGTTACTTATAACTAATCATTGTTTTATTAAATTAATATTATTATTATTATTATTATTATTATTAAACAATAATATTAATAAAATGCCATTGTCATTCCTCCTTTTCTCTACAGTGTACTGTGCAAGACAACTATATGGACCACAATGACTACAAAGACCAAAATGCCCAAAAAGACCACCACCACCACAACAGGGACTACAATGCCCATGATGCCAAGGAGCATGACAACCACAACTACCACAAGGCCGAAAACTAACCCACCTACCAATGTGACCAACGGACTAAAACGACTGTGACCATCACAATAATTGATCTATTTCTTTCTTCTTGCTTAGAAATAGGAAAAATTTTACCTTCTTGTTACCCACAATGTCAAGAAGTGTTCTGTCTAAGGCAGCTTTGTAGAACGTCTCCTGTTTTTGTGTCAGTGGTGCATAGACCAAGACCTCCTTCTTTGGTGGCAAGGACAATTCCACATCTGTCTTGAGGCGTCTCAGTAGGAATGGTGTGAGAATCTGACGAGTAAAAAACAAGACTATTAACTAACACCAGTAAGATTAATAACAATTACCCTCTCCGCTTAGAACCTATAGGATGTAATTTTTCAGACCCAGCTGCACAGAATTTACATGACTAATTGTGGCACATTAATACTGCTTCATGTTTTCACATAAGTAGGGTCTTACTGGTAACCAGAAAGGAAACCACATCACTATATCCTCTTGCATCTCTAATCACGTGTAACCGGCCTGCTGGCATCATGTATATTAATTTTACACTAATTGATTTACCAATTGATTTATCTCAAGTCTTTGAGTCCTTGAGGGCAAGGACTAGAGCTCGTTTACTAACTTGACTTTTATAACTTTCGCTTTGAATTGACTGATCAAAAGCAAACAGTCAACACTTACCTGAAGAACTTGTTCATACTATTCTCTCATTTACAACTAAATTACAATTTTAATCAAGCAACACCCTTACAAATGAACTGTGAAGTAACATTCTTACAGCATGAAGCCGCTCTAACACTTGATGCTCCCTCTCCTGTTCAATTATTCGTTCACTTCCACCATCTTCATTGATGGCACTAAAATCAAACCACCGCTGAAAACTAACAGATGACAAAACATGCGTTAATCCTAAGAATAAATTTCCCAACATCACTATACTGTATATGTACTGTCGAAACAAATAAAGCCTCAAATAATACCATCTCCTGAGTGAAAAAGCAAACAAACAAAATTCACCTTTCTAGGTCATCAAAAATGTCTGGCAGGAGAAAGTTCAGCAAAGACCACAACTCTGAAAGGTTGTTCTGCAATGGAGTGCCTGTCAGAAGTAGACGGTTTGCAGCCTTGTATGTCTTCAGTTCTCTGTTCAAAGAAAGAATAACTGAAAACTTTAAAGAATGGACAATACCCCACCCTACACCTGAACAGGGATGTGGCTAAGGAAAAGCTAAGCAGGCGTATTTCTATTCTAGCCAACTAATTACTTGTAATATAAAACACAGACTACAATGTTTGGGCAAAACAGTTCATTGACTAGCAGAACGAGACGCTGGCGAGAGGTCAATTAAAAAAACCGCCAAGGGTGGAGTGGGTGGGTAAACGATGTCTTGCTCAAAGCTAACGTGGAGGGATCTGAAAGCCGATACACTACACCCGTGGAAGGCTAGCCCGAAAGGGGCGTGTTCTCTATAGCAATTAGCAATCATCACCTGTGGTGATCCTTGTACATTAAATTTTTACTAAACTGCACCTTCAGAATTGTCCCATGTCTTTCCCTTCTAGTTTAAGGCAGCAATAAGCTCCTTTTACCAGCAGCTGAATTTTAATGTAGCTACATGCCTGCCTGATGTGTCAATGTTTCTGGCTCACCTTTGATCTTTATAATAAAATTTATCACATGTATGCCCAACATATTACATTAAGTCATTAATACCTAATAAGTTTGCAGTTGAGGTTTTTAATGCGATGGCCTTCATCAACAATGATGTATTTCCAGTCCAGTGAATACATGCTTTTCTGATCTCTCATACAAATTTCGTAAGATGTAACAACTACAGGAAAAGCTGAGATATTGCCTTCAACTGTCACTGGCTTTTCCAACTTGGAGCGCATACGGAGACGCTCTTCCTGTGATCCATGATAAAGTATAACAGGAATCTGATGGGTAGACAAAAGAGCTTTCAATTTTACCATATTAATATACACCTCACTACCAAAAAAATTCCTATTATATTGTAAGTATCACAGCCACCTCTCCGCGCTTACGGTACACAAGATAATGAAATGCCAACTCTCAGCTAAGAGTGATACTCAAAGAGAAAATTCTCCAGTAAAACATTAATATTTACATAAAATTAAATCCCCGAAAGTCCTATTCTTTTAATTTTCTATTGTTTCAAAATGATAAAATCACACCTTTGGAGCAAATTTGTGAAACTCGTGCACCCAGTTAGGCAGAGTGGAAAGAGGAGCAGCAATGAGGAAAGGTCCTTTGACACCCATTTCAACTAAAAAAGCCAGCATTGATATACACTGCAATGTTTTTCCAAGGCCCATTTCATCAGCTAAAATACCATTCATTCCATTTTCATACAGAACCTGTGTAGAAAAAATCAGACAATAAGTGATTCTCCTCAGACTTCATAAACTTTCTGCATCTTGTCTAACAAAGGGTGGCAAGGGGAGTGAATATACATGTCTACATAAAATGATATACTTATCTTACTGCTGTAATATGGCCAATAATTATTCTATTTGTTGCTGACCAAACAGCCAACATAAGGGAAATGAGCATCACAAGAGTAAGTTAAATGCACCATCGCAAGAACAATGCCTAGCTACTGGAAAAGCCCAGTTAACACTAACATTTAAAAATTAAATATATTATATTCTTAAATGTGTAAAATTTACTTGCATACAGAACTGACCTTAAGCCAAGCTAGGCCTTTTAACTGGTATGGCCTCAGAGTTCCACCAGTGATAAATGATGGCTGAATTGTTGATTTATCATCATTACTATTTGAGCAACCAGCCTGTTGACCAACGGGACAGGAAAATTAAGCCCATGGATTAAACCACAGCAGTGCACTATGGTATGCTAAGGTCTCGCAACTTCCCAAAGGGAATTGGACATGGCCATGTCAGTAGGGGTAGAGAATTTACACCAATGCACCACCCTTAATGGACACAATAGATATGAAAATTTGTACATGTTTGCACTGGTTGTAGGAAGAGCTAAGGTGGATTAAAGTCGTTCTCTCACTCTTGCTAAAGATACAGTTGGAACTACAGTCGAATTCCCAATAATTCGAACCTTCAAGGGAACTAGAAGAAAGTTCAAGTTATCGAGGGTAAAATTATATGGAAAATGATCTGGAGGGAAATGAAAATTACCTGGAGTTAACAGGAGGTTCGAGTTATAGAGGGTTCAAGTTACTGGGAGTCAACTGTATACAATAAGGTACATTACTATTCATTCAAAATATTTTTCCGATTCTGATTGGCTAAAAGCACACGTTTAATTCACCATAACTAGTAACTGATGACCAAATCTGGAAGAATTTTGTGTTTAATGAGGAAATGACGTCAAAAATGCGCGTTTTCGCAGGTTAAGGCACCGTTAACCGAGAAGACCTGGGGACGAGGTTGAGTTGTTTTGTTGTGAACTTGAAAAATGGCAGACATTTCACTCGTTTCAAGAGTAAGAACTAGGCGAAAAATTAGCTAAAAACATGGCAAGAACAGCAAGAAGAAAACTCTAAGGGCGACATCTGCTATCTGGAGAATATTTGCGGAGCTGGACAAACCTAAATGTGCACTATCGAAGATGAACTTAACATCGATGAATCGATGGAGGTAAGCACGTTTTAGCCATGTTTTTAAACTAGGAATTATTTTGAATGAATAATAAAACAATTATTGAATTCCGCTTTCGTATCATATGAAGAATTATGGAGATCTCGGAGGGTGTTATCCGGATAACACCCTCCTCGATTTTAATTAATTTATGGTAGGTCCAGCACAACCAATCAGGTTTTTTAAAGCACAACCTTTGGGATGTTACTGTAGTGAGCATTTCAAGTTGCTGGGGAGAAAGATTTTAATGACAATGCATCTCACTACTTGTTTGTTGTATGCTAAGGGAACATTTTTAACATTTGTGCCATAAGCTTACAATATGCCCATGCTGTTGTTGTTCCCCATTCACTTGTGGCATTGCATGTGGCTCACTGGTGGATTTCATGGTG